GATGCCCCACTAGATCATGGAGATAGCTTTTTGTTGTTGTTTCCGATAAGTACGTGGACGTGGTTCCTCTTTTATCGCCTGCCATTTACGGGAAAGAAAAGTTACGCTAAAAAGCAGCTGTTGGCGACTTTACTTTACTTAACACAAGTTTGGATTTGTGTTTACTCTTTGGTCGTCTTACAACTTTGTTTCGATTTTGAAGCCCGAGTGTGGCTATAGGCATCAGATAATGAAAATTCACGTGCGTATTTCAGTAACATAGTCGCCAGAGCTCGCATATAACGTGGCTTTGTAGTTCTGTACTTGGTAAGGAAATTTATTTCTTTGGAAAAAGGAAGACACTATCCCCAAGAAAAGCAATTTTCCAGCACAGCAATGCCAGGAATTTACGTGCTTCAACGGTCTACACGGTCTACACGGTCTACCATCATATGAGATAAATATAACAATATATTCTATTTCTTACTGTTGCAGAATGGTAGACCGTGGTGATGGTAGACCGTCAGAAAATAGAAATTAACATAGCACACAACTTTTTCTGCTCTCTAGCTCTAACGGACTTTAATAACCATCTTATTTTCACCGTAGTAGATGAAACAAGAAGACGCCCGAAGGCGTTTACGCGGGATGTGTGGGTTTAAGAACGAATTATGTTGGATGGCAATGGAAAGTTGAGTAGTGTATGCAACAAATGTCAGAAATGTGTGCAGGAGAGACGGAGATGTTCTGTTAAGGACTAATACACTAGAAGATGAGTTACACACAAGGGTTCCTTTGCTACTCAAAACAAAACTTACATCAATATTACCACCATATATGTTAGGAGTATGGGATAGTTCACTAAAATTTGCATTCCTTTACTAATGTCCTTAAAAAATGTACTTCCACATTTTTAAATGTTAAAACAATAAAACAATAAAACAATAGCATGTAATGTATCATACTTTCAGGGCTGCAAGGAAGTGGTCTAGGGAAAATTTCAGGGAGCCCTTTGGGCTGGTTCCCCAAACATTTTTAGCTGGGGTGCCGGGGCCTTCAAGTTGGTCGCCCAAATTAATAAATCGATGAGCTGTTAGTTAATTATTAAAAACTAAACAAACATTATTTTCTTAACAACTCAAGCAGAATTTTGTGAATATTTTTTTCATGAAAAATCACACCCCTTTGACATCCTGAGCGTGCGAAAAAAAAACCGCATGTTGTCATATGAAAGTAAGTTTTCGCGCCATATGAGAAGCATGGACAACGCCGCCGAACATTTCATGTTTTTTAAATGGAAAAGTAAATTTGGGGTCCAAAATAAGATCACAATTCTTTTTACTAATCATTTTGATTTAGGTTGAAAAGAAAATTCGCTTATTAAGATTGACTGAGATCCCGTGGAGCTTTCCAGGAAAACTGTTATGATTTCAACGAAACCGCGGCGCCCCCCGGGAGGGGGGGGGGGGGTACTTGCGTTAACTTTTGCTGGGTATGTGCCGCTGGCCTCTCAGAGCCCCTAACCCATTATAGCCTTTTCTGTGGCCAATTGTAGACCCGATATTAGTCACTCTTGGGCAAATATGTAATTTTTGCGATCTCAACTTAGTCACTTTCTATTTATGTATCTACCTTATCAATCCTTTACATAGGTCATCAAAAAATGAATTGACCCATTTTTTTAATAAATTGAATGAAGAACATTTTTTTTTTCACCTACAGTACAAATATCCTGGTACGTTTGCTAAGCGTAAATATGAACAGGTCTCCCAAATATCCGAAAATGTGCGACCCCATTCTAGTAACTCTTTTGAAAATGCAACTCTAGTAAAAGTCAATCTAGTCGTGAAAATGCGACCCCATCCAGCGGCACATCCCCATTAGCCTCTTTATAAGGAAGTGCCCCCCCCTCCCCCGCCCCGGCCGCCCCAAAACTATTATCTCTTTTGAATAGATCATCTTGTTGTAAAGTCGTCGTTTAAGCGCAAAACGGAAGTATTTTCTTTCTATATTACCGGTGAAATGTTCAGGACGAATGTAGATTCGGTTAGCTTTTGCGTATTTATTTTTAGTACGTGATACGTATTAAATGCCTTGTCACGACACGAAAGACAATAAGGGATTTATACCCGATTCTAGAACAATCACAATTATTATAGTCGTCTCTTTTCTTTTTTATGCATCGTATTTTACTGGAATAACAATCTTAGTTATGTTTTAGCCTCGCAGACACAGCAGTAAAAAGGTAAAAATATTTAAAGAACATAAAAGACCGACTCCCTTGTTTATTCAGCGATTTTTCAAAATACAAAACTATTGTTTTGCGTCGCCGACCGTACTTCACGCCTGTCAGAGCAAAAGCAACAATTTGTTTTGAGAAACTAACTAATGAACAATCCTAATTTAAAGAAAAAATTTCAATGTTATTATGAAAAGCTGTTACTATCGAAAACTGTGCAGCTTGTCACGTTCATAGTCAAGGATTATGTTACATTTGAATTCACGTGAAACCACCTTTGAACATCAACGCGTGCCCGCTGCCCGATTTAACAACATTTTCCTAAAGCTTTTTGATAGACATGCTACTTATTGCTACTTACAAGTCGACCTCAAGAGTTTCTTAGCCAGCGAAGCGTTCTTTTTAGGCCGCGAAGCCACCGAGAGAGCTACGATTTCGCAAGTAATAAATTCTAGACATTCTTAGCTTTTTGACTGTAACTCAACAGAAACAAGAAACCAACACCAGCAAGTCGCCCGGCTGGGCCACCTAGACAATATTTTCAGTCGCCCGAGGCCAAGTCTTGCGCCGTATTAAGAGCACGGCCTTGCGTCTTCGTTCTCGTCTACACAGTGAACTTACTTTTCCCTCCTTTGCTGACGCAGTATCTTTTTTCCGTTTGTGCAATCCAGCCTGACTTGCACGTGCTTCGACGTTGCGGCCGATAAAAATCCACACAATTTTTCGGGACGGGCTCGGGATACGGGAAAGTTAAAAAAACAAGGCAATTTTTGACTCCCAAGACGACGAAAGGAATGCGCTACCGAATTTTAGACGCTGGTTGACTACGTCATCCCGCGTAAAAAACTGAACGGTTTTACTTTAACGGCGATGTTGAAAAATAAGTCACGCGGTATACCGATTACATAACGCCATTGCATATCAAATATCATTGCGTTACAGATACAGGGGTGAAAAGGAAGGTTTGGCAGCTTTATTCGCAACTATAGTATCTCTAAATACCAAGAAAAGGAAAATTATGCTTTTATTATGCATTCGCGCTTCTCAGAGTTTAATTACAACGCCGAAACTTTAAGCTATGTCACTATAGATAATGGCGCATGCGTTACAACAAAAGTGAGGCAAAAATTTACAAGTCACTACACTCTTAAGCGCTTTTTGAGGCAGTTTGATATCAATGACAATGATGTATCGGCTGGGAAAAGCAACACAAAGTGTCATTCTATTTATTTATGTCGCTATAGTCTTCGTTTTGGGAATTTAAGACGTGGAAATCGCTTGTTGAAGTAAACCTTAAATGAGACAACCAGTTGCAAAAGTACTTGAGACACTGTACCGTATTTTGGCATAAATGGCCTGTCCATGATCTTGTGCTTGTGATCCCCCCTCCACCCCTTATCAAAGTTGCTAGCAATACAAGACCATACTCAAAACTTGGAGGAACAACTTTGAATGGGAGGGAGGAGGGAGGTCAGTATTATATTTTACAGACCTGTGACCAGGAGCGATTTGAAGCAAGAAAGGTCGTTTTTCCGTGAGAGTGTCTCATCATTTTTGCAACTGGTTGTAGCTGATCAGCGAAGTTCAAAAATACCACCAATCACCTCTAGTTCAGTTTTGAAAAGACCCCAGGGTGGAGTTCTTTCAACTTTTCTAGATTCGAACGCGGCAGGTCTTTAAACTTTTGTTTAAGCTCTTCCATTTCACTTAAAGACACTTTCAATGTTTTGGCTTGTGTGCGGTACAGAGAAAGCCCTTTCTTGACTAAGACAGAGACAAACACACACTGGCTCAAAATTTAGTCATAAACAAATTTTATTACTTTTAGAAACAAAGCCTGTTTTGAATGTCTTTAATTATCAAGTCAAGGTCCATTGGTTTTTGATCTTTCCTCACCGAAATCCTTGCCATTTGAGCCCATTTGGTCCTTAGTATAGAGCGTATAAAATACGGCTTTGAAGATCATCACCCTGCTGGACAACATCAAGTCACACAGAAGTGAGGTCAACACTGGTCCACGGCATTTTTGGCAGCTCGGGAACGTACGTTTCCCATGATTTACCTAGTTTGAAGCCAAGAGCACTGGATATACTTCCGGTAGCGTTCAGCATAGAATTCAGGTCAATTTGTTGAACCACTTCATCGTGGAAATACATCCAGGCATCATCTTTATCCATCGTGAGGCAAGAATGTTGGTTTTGACTTGGGTGTTGAATAGCACAACCGTGGCAGCGGTTCAGCTTTTCTTGTTGAATGAGTTTGCCAATCAAAGCCGCATAAGTCAGTTGGAATACATCACCGATACAGCTGGCTATCCTTTGACGCTGTACTTTCTCTACTTCGTCAATCGTTGACTGAGGTGTAGAGCTCGATTCAATTTGCATGTTTGAAACAATGTTTTAAAGAATATTGGTAACAGTAAGACTTTTTTCCTTAGCAAAGCGATTGCAAGAACGATAGCGCTTTCGAAATCTATTCGCTTTTTTCCTCAGCGACCTCAGTTATAACAATGGGTGACGTCATTGACTCGACCCTTATGCATATTAATAAAGGGAACGAACAAAAAAGGAGTAATATGTTGAAGCATAACTACTGGTAAGTCCTGGAAGTCAATCTGCTAATTGATCGGATTATTGAATTTTAACTCTGTTAACTTACTTAAAGTGTTTTATTTTTGAAACGTAATTATCACAGCTCATATGAAACGGGACTTGTAAGTAAACGCTTTGAAACTGTCACGTCATTCCGATACCTCGTCTTCTTAGTCTTCTTCTTCCTTCAACAGGTAAACCATGAAGGCTACGTTTTACGAAGTCTTGTTGTTGGCAGTCTGTATTTATTGTGGCTCCAGTCAGAATTTAAAACGATGCTACGATAGTTGTTCCTCAAAGGTAAATTAAGGCAAAGTTACGTTAGTTAACTTAATTAATACTTGTTGTTTCCGTAATATGTAAATTTTATAATAACAAAGTGAAACAGAAAGATCTGAGCTTACGTGAGCTCGGTCAAAACGAGAAGTTTACCCGATAACGTGCTCCAGTATGTGGAAGTATATTGTTAGTATGCTTTTCGTCGGTAAAAATGGCACCAGATAAATTGCTGTATATGTTTCAAAACCGCCCTGAATCCTTGCACGCATATAAATGAAGGTTGTTTTATATATTTCAACTATGATACTTTTAGATATTGGTGTAAGAACAGTGTTTTAAGGAAGTTTCGTGAAACGGTGCAATATCGTGACTTACACTAAAGTGAAATCGATTTCAAATGTAACCGGCAACCGCCGGGCAAAAACATTAAGCTTGGTCAGATACTTGCTGTTCAATTGCAGCTTCTTATAATCTCATATAAAATTATTTATGTCATTAAAAGTTTTAAATTATGCAAACAACATTGAATGAATGGGTCTGGACACGTTCAATTCATGGAGTTCAATTTACGCAAGAACCAAAAGAAAAAATGATCGATCGTGAACTTGGAGTTGCGTTGTATTTTCTTTTTATTCAGACCGCTGCTCCCGTTCATCTGTTTCCGTAAACACTGGTTCTTTTCAGGAAAGAGACCCTCTTCCCTTTCAACATTCATATGATGCGTGTGAATAATAATTATATGAAAGGAATTTAAATGTAAACGATTACTAAGCCTTAGCAGTTGTGTTATTTTAAATGTTTGCCGTAGATGCACCCTAAATTTCTTTTAAAAATTCCATGAGACGTACGATCGCGTGTAATCTTTACAATTGGGTTTTTCAGTCCGTTTTAATTAACAGAATAATAATTTTGTCTATTCAAACACAAATTTCGCGGAAAATTTCCTGTTTTACGAGTATGCCCTGAAATGATCAGAACATTTGAGCTCTTTCTATATCGATCTTCACTCGGAAGCGGTTTGGTCATAAAACCTCCAAATTGTTTTTCAAAGACGAAAAAATCACGTGAAAATTTAAAATCAATAAATTTGCTACAAAATATCAAAAATGGGAAAAATGGGCTAAGGAAGACAAAATATAACAAAATATAACACTTTGTTGTTATAACTTGCAAGCTATACATACACTACAATATATACTACCTGTAAAATTTTAAAAAGATAGCCGTTTAGAAGTAATGACGTTTACTAAATCAAAAGAACAAATCTAAACCTCTCAACTTCCGCTTTCGATCGGGAAGGATAAAAGAGCTTGTTATAAAGACGCCTGGTTTCATTATGTTGAAAAGTGGAACCAAGGAACGCGGTATAACGATCTTCTCGATAAGTAACGAAGACCTCGGTATAACGAATGATATTCTTCGATATTTTGTGGCCGATTGTAGCTAAAAAAATCTATCCCAGCATGCTCAAGTTAAACGCTACTGATTTTTGTCACATTTTATTAGGTATTCAAAACATCAATGTAAAATTAAGAGCGACATACAGTCAACTCCCTTTATAGCGGCCAACCACGAGACCTCGAGTTAGTCTGGTTAGTGGCCTCATTAGCGAGAGTCCGTAATAGCTGGAGTTTATTTCAGTCAAACGCTTGTAAATTATTATTTGCCTGGAATTTAGTTGTTGTCCGTATTATCGCAAGAAGAGAGTTGACTTTAAATGAAAATAAGCTCAGTGATATTTTGTGACTAATCATATTGTTAAACTGCTTCAGATTCCAGATTTCCAGATGTGTAATGAAACCTGTGATCAGTTAGCTACCTTGGCAAGTAAGTAAAAGGGACTCCTTGGCAACAGAAGAAAGTGGCTGTTTTAGAGAGGTCTAAACAAGTGTCAATGTATGGAATTTCTGCCAAAAATTGGCCGCTGTAGAAAGGTGGCCGTATGGAGGTTCAACTGTATATTGGCTTTCTGTCCTGACAGAAGAAGCGACCACAAACTGCAATTTTCACTCATGAGCGAGACGAAAAGCACCCCTGTCACTTTTATGTAGGAATTTCCCCTTGGGGGGATGGAGGGTACTTCCTCATAAGAGATGTGCCGCTGGATGGGGTCGCATTTTCACGACTGGATTGATTATAATGGGGTCGCATTTTCAATAGAGTTACTAGAATGGGGTCGCACATTTCCGGATTTTGTGGGGTAAGACAGTTCTTCATAATTACGGTAAACAAAATTACCAGAATGTTTGTACTGTAGATGAAAAGTAAAGTGTTCTTCATTCAACTTAAAAAATGAGTCAATTCGTAAAAATAGAAAGTGGCTAAGTTGGGACCACGAAAATTACCTATTTGCCAAAAGGGACTAAGATGGGGTCTATAATTGGCCACAGAATAGAGTATAATGAGGTAGGGGCTCTGAGAGGCCAGCGGCACATACTCAACAAAACTTACTGGCCAAGAACCCCCCACCGGGGTATTCCCCCTGGGCGAATAAAAATGCTTTTCCCACACATAGGAGTTGCTTCAAAGGTTTCACTGTGTGATTTTAAGACTTTCTGGCTTGAAAATGACAGTAATTTAAGAGTGATTTTCTGTAAAATTCGAACTTCGGCCTGACACGGTACCTCATCGATTTGGCTGATTTTTGGCATGTAGTCTTAGAATGGTGTCCTAAATACTGAATGCATATTCTAAGGTTCGAATTCTCGTTGGTTTCAAAGATACAGGAATGACAGTTTTGACGAGGCCTCGAGCGGCCGCCATGTTGGTGAGCTGAAGGAGATTTACAGTAATTAATTCTAGCCTTATCATTAAAATAACTTAATCGTGACTCATACAGTTGCAAAGAACTATCCTTCCTCCTTTCATTTACCTACTCTTATCTGAAAATGGTTAAGCCTGAGCTACGAACGGCTATAACTTCTCACAGCACTTTTTCGGTACTTAAACGGTACACAAATTTGGTAGAAATTGGAAGGCCAATATCACCCATGCCACATCGATTTAGACTAAGCCATTTTAACTAAACATAGTTTGTTTATAGCTAAGTTAGATTGTTGAATAACATAATTGGGCAAATGCAACGGAACAGAAATATGATTGCATGAATGCGCAGTGGTTCAGCCACTTGGCCGCTAAAACTTCAAAACAAAATTCGGTGAATATTTGAAAAGAAAATTCTTTAAAAATTGATCGTGCCTCTTAAACCCTATCTATCGCTTAAAAAACCCTCCCTTGAAATGTAAACAGGTGATCTTTTGATTCTGATCTTGCGAAGAGCTTGAAATATGCGCTAAAATGAAAATTATAAATTTTGTTACACACGGTACTAGCTCAAGTTCGCTCTTCGATTTCCCAGACCAATCGGGAGCCGCTCGTTTACTGCACAGTTACAATTTTCTCTGTAGTATTTCGCTGTATACAGCTACAAATTACATATTTTGTTAGGCAAAGATAACGCAAACGTTGTCAATTTTAATCAAAAGGCTAGAAAAACCAACCGTGCACTGTAGCTTTATGCAAATTGTATGGTATTCGATAATTACACGTGTAAACAGGAACCTACCTTTGCTAATGTACACTGTTTGGCAGATCTTTCCAGCGTAAGATATAAAACTAGTACATGAAATGAAATTAAAGAACTCATCAAGTCAAATTACCTGATCGTACCGTCATTACTGAATAATAAGTCCGCAAAATATGACATGGAATGATCGGTGGGAGACGAAGCTATTTTTAGGAGGACAACGAACTGCACGCTGGAACGAAACTGAAATGAACAACCTCAATCAAGTTCAGTCTTCTTTACGCGATTAAACGTTTCCCCCGAATTTGAACAGGAAGTTGTTTTCTATTTTCTTTCTCATTCTTGCATGTATTCTGCAGTTCGCCCACTATTTTTTCGTAACTTTTAATTTTCTAGCTAACTGGAACTGTTTAGAACTAACAACCCCCCTCCCCCCTCCCCCTCTTTGAGTGAACTTTCATTCGGTCTGATTCACAATAATTTTCGAACGGTGACAAAGTGATATTTGAAATGACATTTTATTTAATATTTTTAAAAGCTCCTTCTTTTTTTCCCGATAGCCAGGAATGTTTTGAACGTAAAGGCTCAAGTGGCGGTGTTTTTCACGACTCTGCTTGTAGACTGACCTCACCACCAGTACCACGGACATAAAATCTGATCGGAGGGGGTCATACAGTAACTGATGGGTCTCTGAAAAGCGAAATGCAGTCACGTGGGGCGAGTAGGCTATATAGATGATGAACTCATTGTTTATAACCCCATAACCGTATCCCAAAAGTCGAGCCAGCCCGGGGCGAGCGAACACAGTTTTGGGGCCACTGGCCACGCCCTTATGTTTAGCGGGAAATTGGTTGATTAGTCAAATCTCCTTAACTCCATGACCATGCACCTTTCCAAATATAGCCCTTCTTATCATCATATAGTTAGGGCCTCCCGTAAGCATTTGCAACTATTTTGATTTGTAGAAGACTGTTTAACAGTTTTCATTACTTTAATGTCTCGTAAACAACACGAGGTACATGTTCTGATCTCTCCCCCCACCCTTCCCCTATCCATAACAAAAAATTTTCAGACCAACACTGAATTGCATGAAGTATGTACAAAACTATGACCGTCTCGAGGCAAGGTTCATCACTGTAACTTACCACATAAAAGCCTTTTCGTTGTTTGCCATCGACTGATTCTGTTCTGAATACTAAGGTCCCATAAACAACGCCACGTTTAGAAAGAGCCCGCCCTTTTCAATCCAAGAAAACCCAAGTAGCGATTTCACCAACGGACATAAGCCGTAAGAAAAGGACCGCGTCAAATAGTTCATGAAATCACAAACGCCTCATGACACCTTTAATTCACTCTTTCTTCGATAAACTAATTTTTAATTTTTTAAGCATAAATGACATCAGAATGCGCGATTATGAGCATTGTAGCTTATGAAAAGAAAATTTAACACCTGATGCACATGAAAGCGTCTAAGAAGGGGACTAGGGGGAATTAGGAACATTGTGCTTACCCCTGCAAAAATATTGGCTAGTTCTTTGAATAGACTCAATTAAAGCCGTTTTTGTTCAGTAAGGAGCTGTTAGTTGGGGGGAAAGCTACATAAAGTAGATCGCATCAGAATACGGCATAGGACTAGGCTCTCAAAATCGATAAGCTGAATGCAAGACCAATTATTATGTAAAACAGAGAAAAATTCCTTGAGGGAAAAAAATTATGGCTAGGGAAAAGACCCGAAGGTGGAAAGTTAGGATGGTAGCTTCTTTTCAGGTAATCGATCATTTACGTTAACTTCCGCTATCCGACGGGCATATCGGAAAGACTGAATGGATGAGAGTATAACACATTCAAGAAGAAACAAATTTGTGATTTTTCACAACTCAATAAAACAACTAAAATTGTGTACTACTCGGTTATACAAGATTTTCGTTTTCAATTTCAGATTTTTACGATGGGTCATTAGCCCCCGTACTCACTAGACACTACTTTACAATCATCGTGTTAAAATCAGTGAAATACTCCAAAACAATTTGGATTCCTACCCTTATACCTTTATTAAAAATTAAAGTTGGGAAGTTTGTTGTCTTCTAAAAGTAGTTTGAACAGCCGAACGACATTTTTTTACACGGAGTGGGGAAGGCAAAGCTTCACTTATCTCTTCTAAGGTAGAAAGTGTCAGCAAAACGTGAGAGTCGTCCTTGAGGGTAAAGTGTCTAACCTAATTTTCTCATCGATTGCAAGTGCCATTTCATCCACGCATAACCTCACCTAGTTAACAGAATTAGCAAATGTAGTGGGGAAACGTTGCGAGAGAACTGAGTAAGATGTAAGGGTAAGTTTTGGAAATTTTCCGCACACCTGGAAAGTCCTGGCTACGCTCCTGATAGAGACTTTTGCTGGAGAGAAATTGAAACATGTTCGCTAATATAGTGACGACCAGAAAGGACAAGCCATAGGATAGATCCAGAAAACCACCCATTAAAATAGATCACAAAGTTGTCGCGGCGGAGGATGAACTTGAAGGTATCTGATGAATTGCAGTTTTTCAAGGGGAGCCCAGACAAGATTATGTACGATGGGCACAGCTTGTTTGATCTGGAAAATTTAGAGAAGCTCAAGGCAAATCGCTAGACAACACATGCTAGAGCTGAACTAAAAATCTTTTGCGCCTTTGAACTCTGTCCCTAAGGGTAAAGGAGAAGTTTCCCTTTATCAATGCATTAACCGAGTTGATTATGAATGTCTCCTTATGTTGGACGTGTTACTAACAAGCACATTACCACTACTTGCCCTCAGAGGCGTTTTTCATTTGACGAGCAGAGAAAATTACTAGGTTTTGACCGTTTGAAATTCTGGATACCAGAGTGAAGACGCCTTTTGTATGATGACGTCATCGTCCTACAGTAAAAAGCGTTCGTTTTTTACCACTGATATTACGTCAATCGGTACACTTATGTTGTCGAAAGGTCCGTGAGCATGGTAAATGATTTTACCTTAAACTGCTGACACATCTTCAATCACTCCTTATTGTTCGCGATATCGGATAAACACTCTGGTCTCTAACTGAATTTTCTTTGCTGTTTACTTTATTTTGAATTAGGACTGTCAGGAGTTGTCCATGCATTGTCTAGCGATTTTAAGCTTTTTCAAGGAAACAAAAATCTGGAATTGTCCCTAGGGTGAGGCATTTGCGCACAGTTTTAAAGCCCTTCGGTGGGGTGACTGTGGTTTTTGCTGTCCCGGGCTCATCCCTCATTCTTATTAACCCCTTCCAAACCAATTTTTCCGTTTATCAAGAATCTCCTCAAAACGGGCTTCGTGATTGAGACAAAATACCTGAAAATTGTACACGGAACCGTTGTTAACGGTGTACAAGGTAGAATGAGTCTATTCATTACTTTGCCAACTCCCAATTTTTAAAACCGGAAGTAATGATGTTTATTTCAAGGGCTCACGTCTCATGAGTTTTGAGTAAATCTTCAAACGCTGTAAACACATGTAGCTGGAACTATCATCGCATCGATGCTCGCTCACTAATAATGATAACTTATATCAATTTCCATTATTTATTGCCTGGCTAAGATTTACACGGATTCTTCAGTTCAGTTGTTTGAAACCAGACGGTTTCACGTGAGTTGTAACGCCAGGCAAGGAACGTGACGACCCGCGATATGCGTGGGAAAAATATTACTTTTTTCGATCAAGGTGGAAACTGGCAACTTTGTCGTCGAGTAAGGTAATACATCTCAATTTTCATTACTATGGTTAATTTTAAAAGCTCTGGTTTCGGTAAAGGAACTGGAGGAAAATCAGGAAAATTCCAGTTCGACTGTGATGGTTGAATTTTGTTTACGAGTCATAGCATAAACATAACAAATTCATTTTCCTTTTCCTTATACAATCTGCCTTTTTTTTATACTGTTTTTCGCAGCAGAGTTATCGATTATATTACAGAGGCTAATTTTATTACACAGATCACTCAGATTTAATGACAGAAACTCTATTATCGATTGTAATTTTGGCAACACCTGGCGAGTATTCGGTGTACAGATTATTGACAAAGTCGCTAGAACAGTCTTCCATTCATTACTTTTGTTTCTGCTCCGTTAAATTTGCCCAATTTTTTTATTAATGAACTCGATTTAACTACAAACAGTGAGTATTCAGGCAGATTGGCAAGCTTCAATGCGATGTGGCAAAAGAGATATACGTCTTTAAAATTCTGTTAATTTTGCGGGTGTAAAAAATTCAAAAAGTATACCCACCAAAAGTTTAATCGATCGTTGCGAAAACGTTATCAATTTCGAAGTAGTTTCTAAAAATACAATAAAGAGGGATTGTTCTTTCAATCTGTATTGGCAAAGGAAGATTAGCTTTGAAGACAGGGTTGTAGTCGAAGGCTCAAAAGCAGCTTCTATTAACCAATATGGCGCCGGTCCGAGGCACCCAAAAACCGGCCATGTCGATAATTTCCGAAGTAGGAGGAATTAGAACCTAAAGTTACCTCTTCCTTATTAAAGACCTCAAATCAAGTCTACATGCCAATTTTTAGCCAATTCGGTGAGATAGTGTGGCAGCGCCTTTTTAATATAGCTCGAATCTTACAGACAACTGCTCTTAAGGTCTCGGATCGGAAATGGTGTTTTTTTTTATGAGGAATATCTGAAGTTAGAGAAGAGTTTTATGCAAATTCTTCTTTGCCCAGGAAAGGGTCAACTTTTTCCATATCTGCCAGAGATCGGCATCTGCGATGGGGCTTTCGAATTGACACTTTGTTAAGGTTTTTGAGGCGCAATTAGGTACAGCTTTTTTTCTATTTAAGCTTTAAAATATAGAGAAAGAAATTTTTTAAATTGGTCTTGTAGCTGACAGCTAAGAAAAACGTATACTTCATTTGAAATGAAAGTTTATAGCACGCTTCTTGTTTTAAGGTTAATGTTGTTGAACTCATTTGGATAGGTTGCTAATGGTTACCTTTCTATGGGTCTGTTATTAAAGACTCTGCTGGTACAAAGCTCAAATTCGACACAGCCAAAATGCATTTATAAGGCATTTTGTTCATTAGGTTTAACTTAAGATTTCGATCGTTGCCGTGGAAACATGAATAATTTAAAACAACACTAAAATATTGAATTTTGTAGCTTTATGCAAAATTCACTCTTCAGATGTCTTTATGAATTTACACACAGCCACCTTAAACTTCACCAGAAGTTCCATGAATTACTACCCCGAGCTTAGGCTAATCATAAAAGTTGAATACCGTCAATTCTCTATTAAGCCCCCCTCCACTCCCCTCCACTCCCCCTTATTATTTTTTACTGATAAATGATGGACTGTATTAATCAATCATGACTATAAAACTTCATTTGGACTGATCCAGGATGGTTAATTCACCAGCTGAAAGTTCAGATTTGTGTTTGATCCTTGGCTGCATGACCTCCAACTTTTTTGACTTGATCTTTTTCTCTATGCATTCTAGTTCTTTATTTAGAACTGATACCATTGTCTTACTAAATTAAATAAGCCCCCCCCCCCACCTCATGTTTGGAATAAATAAGCCCCAGGGGGGCTTACTAGAGGATTTACGTTAGTTGTTAATAGAGCTTTGAATATTCTTTTATTCAAATTGTTGTTATTTTTTCTCTTACAGAAAGCGATGTAACATTGGTGCCTCCTACTCCAAATCCACCGCTCCTACTTTCTTCAGAGTACTTCGAGTTTACTCTACAGTGGACAGAATATAGTCAGCTTCATAATGATTCTCCAGTTATTTTTGTGTTGGAGGTCAAGAGGCATGAAAATATTTCTGATCCAGCTTCTTTCTTGCCAGTCATAAAGAAATATCACACGGTAAGCATTTGTTAGCATCAGTATGCGTGGTCCCGCGGAGAGGAACTACTAAACAAAGTTTTATACTGGGAGGTTCCGTCCCAAGGTCCAAGCCCTTACCCTTTTATATACCATTTTTTACAGAAAAGGTACCTCACTCGTATCTGCCATTGAAAAATGGTACTCCTTTAACATACCTTCTTAATACGAATAAATCGCTCAAACATGAAGTCTTCTTGTCATTTAATTTTCGTGTAACGTTTGAAGTATTAAAGTGATATGGTCATAAGGCGCGTCTTTTCGAAACAATTCAATTAAAAAACCTTTTCTTATACTTAAAAAGTATAGAAGTTCCCACCCTTTCATATGAAAATTCCCTACCCTTTGATATACTTGAAACCTGAAAAAATGTACCCCTTTCGGGCGTAGCAAAGGCCAATACTGATAGGAAGTGCCCTTCCACCAGGGAGTGCCGGGCTGTAGCCTTCGAGAAGAAACTTCTTAGTATATTCGGTACGTCTTAAGAAAGAAGCTTCTTTTATTTCTTGCAGACGAATTTCACAACTTTCAAGATTCCACAAGATTTTGTCACCAAGACAAATTTCTCTTTTCGTTTAGCAGCAATAGCACTTCAAGGCACCTCCAACTTCTCGTCGCCGAGTCCTCTTTATACAACAAATAGTAAGCTTCTTGCATATTTTTAGGGGGAGGGGGGAGGGGGGCTAGTGTTGTTGTTTAATTTTTATTGCCATCAAAATCATCGTTGACCGTATATCTACTACAGGAGTTAAACTGTTAGAGACCTCATTCAAGATAAATAATAGAAAGTCAACTTCAACTTTTTTCAACTAGAAATATCTAGAACTGACCTGAACTTAGTTAGCAAGGCTAATCGAGACAGGCTAGCTTACATAATATCACACGAGCTGAATAAATACCAAACTTAGACATTATATTAATCTATAGTATTTTATAATATACAAATACTATTCTACCTTAATAAAAGGAAAAAAGGAGGCCAGGGAATTTTAAAAAAGGACAAGAGAATTACTTTTCCATTTTCACAACAATCGTGTCTACGTCAATTTAAGAGTCTTCAGTTTGAAGGATATCAAGTAGCGTTCCTTTTCATTATCTTTTAAAGGGCGTTTTTGGTCTCTTTTTGGGTCCCGTTCAAAATTTTGACCCCAAAGACGAAAGAACATTTCGTTTGACAAAAGAAAAAAAATCCGTTGTCGTTTGTTTACGTCGTGAATTTCGCCTGAAATAGGGAATTTCACGTCGTAGCCGTGCAGTGAAGACAAAATAATCAGCAAAAATTAAGTGGGGTGCATGTGCAGATTTGTTGTTGTTGTTTTTGTTTTTTTCTAACGCCAATAGAATTGATTTTTAACGTTACGTTACCGGCGTCGTCCTTGTGGTCAGGTAGACTCCCTAATATTTAACAATTATTCCTCGAGCCCGAATGGGCTCTGAGCCAACATGTTCAATAGCCGATGAGGCCGATAGCCTGTTCCAGGCGTTCGGATGGTGGGGAGCGGGCAAAAAATTAGGACACCGGCGAAAAATTGACGAGGGAAAAAATTTGTGCTGGCTGCGTATGATTTAACTTGCTCCCCACTAACTAAACGCCTGGAACAGGCTATGAGGCCGACGGCCGAATGGGCTATTGACTCAGAGGCTATGAGGGCGAGAGGAATAAATCTTTTAGTAAAATCCAACTAGTTGGTCATAAATATCGAGAAAAAACAACTTTAGCGAGCAAAACACGATTCAGCCGCCATTGTTTTGGTTTTCAAAGCCTGTTCAAAGCCGGCGCTTTTCGCTACTAGTGGACTATAACATATAGCCTAGTATTAGCTCAACCAATCAGAAAGCAGCATTGATAATAGACCACTAGTTGGAGTTTACTAAAACCCGATAGTTTGTTTCCACCTCTTAACGACATTCTCGCCAAAACCCATGTGGTGGAATGACGACGGGTGTCGCGTTTTCCCGCCAAAATGACACCACTTAGTATTTGGAAGCTTAAGCAATTCCTCGTCTTGAAATCTAAAGGGCTGGATTATTGATCGATCTACCTAATTCTTCATTTCATTCCCAGTCGTATCCAATGATTTCTTATTATCACCATTTAGGAACCTCACTGACATTACGTAACTATCATCGTCATCATCTTCATTATCATCATCCTCTTCTTCTCATCTTATCTTCTGATATTTCTTTTAAAGAAACTGTGTCGCGAAATTTCTCTAATTTTAAGCAGTGAGAACCACCACCAATTTAAGTGAAACAAAAATATCTGCTCAAAACAGGAAAATAGCTTATAAACAACAAGGCAAATACAAAAATAAAGAACGAATGGACAGTGTTACAGAAGATTGAAATGGATGGCAATTGTGCTGTTTGAAAACTTATTATCCTAAATGTTTTCCAAATTTCATTTGCGTGCATGGTTTGTAATGTTTGATATAATGCTTGTGAGACATACTTGTTTGACACAATGCAAAGCTGTGATTTTGTCATTTACAAGTAACTTCTCAAGTTTCAGAGCGAATACTAGCCTGCGTAGCAGGCGCTTGGAAGTAATGGGTGCAAGAAAGAACGGGGCGCGCGAGGGAGACACGCGAGGAGAGATCGAGGTAGCGCCTGCCCGAGAGGGCCATGAAGGTCGTTTTCACTCGCTTTCTGAGAGTGCGGAAGGTTCCTATTGTTCCTATCTCAGAGAACAATATTTAGCTTTTTATAATACACAGCATGCATTCTTGAAAAAGTATCCATTTTTGACTCTGTTCTCTTCGTATTTATCGTGCCTTTGGTTAAAAACGATTTAATATTGTGTATTTATCATCGGTTTATTACTCCATCGCTCTATAATCAGATAACCTAGCTGATCTTTATAACAGATATATTTAGGCAGTAAATGTACAATTACAATGCCTTGGCACGCTTTGTTCGTGCGAGGTCAATCGTTTGCAGTGAAAATTTTTGACAGATCACGCAGTGGCTGCCAGGTAATTGTATAGGGGGCGGGAAACAATTTTCATTGGCCTCTCGGGCAGGCGCCCCCTCCTCCCTCGCGCGCCCCGTTCTCTCTTGCGCCCATTACTTCTGCGCACGCTACAGCGTTTTTGACATTATTAATAAACTGAACCGGACAATCGCGACACAGCCCCTTTTAACATGCGCGCTTTTTCTCCTTTTTTTTTTTCAGGTACTTGTGAGAGTGGACAGGACATTTTTGGTAATCCTACTCCATGTCCGGTGTTCAATGTTCGTGTCATCTTCAACGCAACCGAGGTTCCATTCAGGGCTCCTCGAATTGCTGCTATTTTGTCTTGGGACTATCCCCCCGGTATGTACACAATCGCTGGTGGACAAAACATTGACCCCCAATCCATGGACTACCCCCCTGGACTACCCATATGGACTACCGTAAAATGGACTACGCCGCTGAAGTTTAGTGATTAGGGTTAAGAAACTGAGTGAATTAACCAATCGAGTTTCAGGTCAGTTTTCGAGGATGGAACTTGATTCACTCAGTTTCTAAACCCTAATCACTAAACTTTAGCGACGTAGTCCACATGGGCTGTCCATGGGGGTATTCCATGGACTGGGGGTCAGTGTTTTGTCCACCACCGTGATCGATTTTTTTTTTTTTTTTTTTTTTGCGTACGCATGTATATATTAGCGACAGACTATAATGCATTGTTTGATCATTAGCATGCGAGGTATTGAACCCTATAGAAAACTTCGCCGTATATACACATTAGGGTCAAAAGTCGAAAGAGCTGGTCAATTTGAGCAGTTTGTGCAAGTTTCAGCTCTTTGCAATCAATAACAAAGGAAATAGCTGTAATCCAAAACTGCCAAATAAGCCTTATCACGGTTTTGGAAGCCATCTTGACAAGAAGGCAACGGCGTGAGAAGTTACAGTGTTTGTATGGGAATTCAATGTCCAACAATTTCCGTAAAACGGCTGTTCTAAAAAATATATGAATTGTAAATTAAAGCTTCACTCCTAAAGATTCTACTGAAAAAGTTTGAGAACGTTCCTTTTAGCTACATTTGCTAGAACCACATAAAGTAATAAGTAGTAAATTCCTTTGCTGTGTAGCTTTGGTTTACAATTCATATATTTTTTTCAGAACAGCCCTTTTACGGAATTTATAAACTAATATTAGTTTGTGTAATCAATTGGTGATGAGTGAAAAAGGCTCAGGAAATTTTTTATCTTACGCAACTCATTACTGAGGCCACCCGAGTGACGGAAACCTGTCAATCCTTGCTTGACGTGATTTTAGTGAACAATGATCACCGCATCAATGACTCCGGTGTTGTTCCTGTTTCGCTGAGTGATCACTACCTCGTCTATTGTGTTTTAAAAGCAGGTGTAATTAAGGCACCACCGAAGACAATTGAATACCGCTCTTATAAAAACTTTGATGCGAACACCTTCCTAGCGGACTTGAATAACGTCCCATGGCACATCATTGAAAACGAGGAAGACATCGACGACGCCGTGTTTATTTGGAATCACTTGTTTTCTGAAATAGCTGACCTGCATGCGCCCGTGAAAAGGCGAAGAATACGAGGTGTTCCGCTCCCGTGGTTGAATGATACAATCAGTGAGGTGATGAAGGATCGTGATTTTTCACCATCGTAAAGCCGTGAAAACCAATTCTGCTTTTCACTGGGCTCGCTATAGAAAGTTAAGAAATAGGGTCAATCGTGAAGTCAAGGCAGCAAAATCCAAGTATTATTGTGACTTGATTTTAGAGGCTAAAGGGATTCAGGAAAGATCTGGAAGGCGGTGAATGAGGTGTCTTCGCGCAAGACTAAATCCTCGAGCCCACAATGTATCGTAGTTGATGGTGTTGAACACACCACCCCAGCCTCTATTGCATCCGTGCTCAACTGTTATTTCTCATCCATTGGCAGAAGTCTTGCAAATAAAATATCAGCTGCTGCTATGTTCCCAGTCAGATCGGCCACGATGCTACAGTCTTTCTCGCTTGACGAAGTTGATGAGAAAACAGTACTCAAGCATCTGCTTTCTCTAAAGACAAATAAAGCTATTGGCTTGGACAACATCAGTGCGAGACTTTTTAAAGTGTGGCGCGCGTGCTATTTGTCCCTCGATCACCAAGTTACTGAATCTCTCTATTCGCACTGGCAATTTTCCTGAAATATGGAAATGCTCGAAAGTGGCTGCACTTTTCAAAACTGGAGATAGGAGAGATGCGTCAAATTATCGCCCAATTTCTATTCTGCCAACAATGAGTAAAATTCTGGAAAAAGTCGTCCATTCCCAATTCTATGACTTTCTGAATTCAAATAATCTCCTTTCAAGCAAACAATTTGGCTTCCGTCCCAAACTGTCTACAACATCGGCTCTCACCAGTTTTGCAGATGAGGTCCTATTGCATATGGAGAGTGGAGAACTGTGCGGTGCAATGTTCCTAGATCTGACCAAGGCATTCGATACCGTTGACCATACGATCTTGCTATCTAAATTGTCGGCTATCGGTGTCTCGCCCAGCGCTCTACAGTGGTTCAAGTCTTACCTGAATCATCGTAAACAGCGGACTGCCTGTAGCGATGCTGTGTCTGACCCTCTCCCGATGACCTTTGGGGTGCCACAGGGGAGCATTCTAGGACCGCTTCTCTTCTTGGTTTATATTAATGACCTTCCGCTGGTTATAAAGAATTGCGAAGTGACTTTGTATGCTGATGACACGGTCCTGTACTACTTTGCTAAAGAGCCACACCTGTTAGAAGAGGCACTGAATGATGATCTCTTGAAAGTTGCCCAGTGGTTACATGGAAATAAGTTAACTTTAAATCTTACTAAGACGAAATCCATGATTATAGGCAGTAATAGGAAACTTGTTGGTATTTCCTCTTTCACGTTATCTATTTTTGACACTGATATAAATTCTGTAAGTAGTTTTAAATATTTGGGAGTTATGTTGTCTTCAACTTTCACATGGTCCGACCATATTGAGTATATTTCATGTAAGGTTAATAAAAACCTTGGTCTTCTACGTAGGATTAAGTATTATTTACCTTATGATGCCCGGTTATTTTTTTTATAATAGCTTAGTGCTACCTATTTTTGATTATGCTGATTTAGTCTGGGGTGACAAGGACAATGTCTCACTTATGAAGGAATTGCAAATTCTCCAAAACAAAGCAGCTAAGTTGATATTAGATAGATCACCTCACTCCTCATCCATCGATGCATTGATTGTCTTGAGATGGCTGAATCTTGAAGAACGTAGGAAATGTCATCGATGTATATATGCATACAAGTGTATTAATGGCCAACTTAATCATTCTTTGGACATTGTAAAAAAGAGTGATATACATTCCTACAATACGCGCAATAACGATACTATCAAGCTCCCCAAAATTAAATATAATTGGGGAAAACAACGTTCGCGGTACCACTGTTTCAAAGACTTTAATGAATTAGAGAGAACTGTAAGAAACTCAGCAAGTTTTCCAATTTTTAAGAAGTGTCTTTTTTCTGCTTTTTATAATTGAGTACTTGTAGTGTGTATGTTTTAATTATTTCTGTAACTCGATTTTAGCCTGAATTTTTTTTTTTTTTTTTTTTTTTTTTTAACCTTTTTATATTTTAATTGAATTATATAATATACATCTCGTAATTAGGACCTCTATGTAAACCACTCTTGTGATGGAGCATCCTATTAAAAGATTGTTATTATTATTATTATTATTAGGATTTGGAGAAAACGCAAGGGAAAATTTTCCCTCATTTCAAGATTATACCATTTGATTATCTATTTTAATATTAAAATATCATGGGTGACGAATAACGCTAGGTTTTGACATGTTTTTCCTCGGCTTTATCGTATCGATCGAGAATTACACGCTCTCAAAAGTTTAGAGCTCAAATTTGGCTTAAGTTCAGAATTTTCAGAATTTTTCGACAAAATACCTGTTAGAATCCTTCTTGATATACTATTTCGTGTGTTTAGGTTTTCTAAAGCGTCTTTTAATGCCCTGACATCTTCGTCGCCATCTTGGAACTGAGACGTACGGAAGGTTGCCATGGCAATTTTGTAATTTCACATGTGAAATTATAAATTAACGCTGAAATTTCGTGCCAAAATTAAGGAGTAATTCGTCACCTATGATATTAAACAATAAACTTTTCTGATGACTTAAATTTTCTGTATTCCAATTTTTAGCCAATTTTATTGACCATACTACAGTGCAAAAGAATGTCCTGAGGATTGTAGTCAGTGTTTGACCTGTTGTGACTTACATGTACTTTACTTAGAGATTTAGCCAAGTAAATGTAAAAAATACAGGACTACGCTCTTGCATTTTTGAGGAAAAATGAAATACAAACGAATTGTAAAGTGGGGGATAAACAATAACACTGATAAGGACAGCTGCTGATATTCATATTGATAAAAGTGTTTGATTTCTCAATCTTACAGGCCCATCAGGTTTTGCACCCCTTTACAACTACCACTCACTACCCACCCGACCCCTCCGCCCCGAACGCACTCCCCTAATTTGCAGTTATTACTAGTATTAATAAACAGCTTAAACTACTTGCAACTAACGTCATTATCAAGTTAAAAAAATAAGTGTCTGTTGCAAAATATAAATACTTAAAAACAATACTTAAGAGAACCAGTGTAAACTGTAACTAGGCAACCCCAAAGAACATTCGTTCTTTAACAAGTGCCAGACAAAGTTTTCAATGCCTAATTCATGAGATGCTCCCCATAGAAGAAATCAATCCGACACCCAGGCCGATCCCATTCGTACAAAAAAACCTTTGTTTGAACTAACAGACACTTGTTGTTGGACTTGATAATGACTTTGGTTGAACATCGAAACGTCGTCGTTTTCTTAAACTGTTTTTTAGCTTTTTATTATGAGGAACATTAGCGCAGTATTTTATATTCTGATGTTTTACGAAATCGCTTCTTATCCAATTTCAAACATGTTTGTTTTAATTGTTTGTTTCAACAGATGCACACGTACGCTTGAAAGAAACCGACGGCCTGGACATTGAAGTTTTACTGTCTAATGTCGCGAATATTCCTGCCGAGCTCCGCAACGCATGCCAAAAACCTGGAAATCTTCTCGACTTTAGAGCTGACCCTATCGATGTCAGCACTCCGGTAATTGTCCACTTCAGAACCTTATGAGAAGCATACCGATCTTTTCATTAATTCAAATGCCGTAAACTGCCGCTTAGTACCCCTGGGATTGTACATCTTGGTAAGGGGCCTTAGGAGGGCTTATAGACGGAGGGGCTCATTTATATCCGAGGGGGGCTTAATTAACCGGAATAAAAAAGGCGTTTCCATCGAATACATTTCAATACTTTGGAGGGGGCTTATATCCGGGGGAGGGGGAATTTAATCGGGGAGCAAGGGTGGCGAAGGAGCACAGAGCACTCGCCTCCCAGAAATGTGGCCCAGGTTCAATTCGCAGCGTCGACGCCATATGTGGACTAAGTCTGTTGTTAGGTCGCTACTTTGCCCCGAGAGGTTCTCCGGTTTTCCCCTCACCTCAAAAACCAACCTTTCAAAATTCCAATTCGACCAGGAATCAGGTAGACCAAGAAACGCTAAGTGTATGTGCTGCCTCCAAATTGTTTGTTATTTGTTACTTGTTTCCTGGGGAGGAGGAGGGGTGGGGGGCGGCTAAGTCCTAATTCAAGATACCCACCATCTTTGCACGCTTTTAAGAACTGACGGGATAAAAGTAATGTCGCGTGGTTTCTCAGGAGGCAAATAAGTGATACAATTTGCCAATTCAAGAAATCGCGGTTGAGTTTGTTTATTCTAGACAACAGAAAATGAAGAACTGACGAAATTACGAAAACGGCAATTTATGGGTGAAAGTGATCATTGTTACTTTTTGGAGGCAGTAGCGACGGTAGTTATCCTCACAGCAAGCAATAATGACGTGAAACTTGGTGATGCTCGCGTTGTACATTTTGCATGACTATTAAAAGTCGTCGTCTCGTTTTGAGAGGATAAACAAACTCGGCCATTTGCAGGATGGGGTCTTTTTACTACTGAGACCGGAATTCATTTCATTTTTTCTTTCATCTTTAAACTTGGTAATCCCAGTGAGGTTTAAATAACAAAAGGAATAATGGTAGTAGTAGTAAAATGACGCCATCGTGCAAAAGGCCTATTGGCAAATCTCATCACTTGTTTGCCCCCTGAAATACCACTTGACATTGCGTTTATTCCATCAATCCTAAAGCGTGTGCAAAGATGGCGGTAGCCTCCCACGCAGGCGTTTTTAGGGGAGCTCGTTTTTCATCCCTCCCCACAAACGCCTGCTCAACCGAACACTACATTCCTTTCCCATTGTTTATTTGCGTGGTAAGTGATCAATAAGCAGTTGCGCAATTAAGTGTTGACAGGCTAAACCCGACTAAAACGTGACCCTAGAGTGACCGTTTTCCTTCTTTTCTTTCCTTCGCTAAGGTTATGAAGCGCATGGAGTATTCTAAAATTTGACTAAATCTTATTTTTGCCGTTCTGAATCTAACAATTATTAGAGGTCAGAAAGTTTTTCCAGTGTTTCATGCAGATGGAGTAATTATCAGATTACCTTGAGGTCAAGGTCAACTTTCCAGAATTTGGAAAGTACAATGTGATTGGCTAAGCTTAGGAAAGGAATGTAGTCTTCGGTTGAGCAGGCGTTTGTGGGGAGGGATGAAAAACGAGCTCCCCTAAAAACACCTGCGTTGGAGGCTAAGATGGCGGGTGTCGTGAATAAGGAGTGTTATAAAAAACTGAATCATTAGATAATGCATTTGTAGAGCTCTGATTGGCTTACCATCATGGTATATGAGCCATTATACCATGCTCTCCAAATATGGTGACTGTACGCGTCTGCTCAAAATTAATCGGTTGTTTTTACAAATAAAGTCGGGAAAAATTCTCGATGTTTTTTGGGCGTTTTTTATAAAAAAATTATTCCACTTGCGCTTCTTGGCTATAAGATGATTATAGCCAACTCATTTCCAACGCGCACTCGTGGAATAATTTTTAATTAGATCCCACCTGCCATTTTACTACATAGGTTCTCAATGCACGGGTAGACATTACTCCTCGAAAATTCCCTTTCTTTTTATCCATTTTGTATTAGCTACTCTCCGCTGTTTGTAATTCTCTTATTGTTGCTGTTCTTTATATTTGCCTAGCGGTCAAGTGAAACTTTGGTTCTCCAACCGCAAGAAAAGCTCTACTTTGGATGTCCCTATGACGTCAGGGTAAGTCCATGATAAAAACCAGGAAGCGCCAGGAAAGACTTCATAATGCTCAAATCACCGATTTTGCTTAAACTAGGCGTTAATGGTTGTTATCACGAATAATACTTGTGACAATACATGTGGCAAAATATAAGGTCAGGATATTTTACCCCCTGGGAGATACGCCCATCTCCCCTCCCCACAGAAACCTCATCTGCTAATACATGTGACACGATAGAAGGTCAGGATATTTTTTATTCCATGGGAAATACGTCCATCCCCGCTCTCCACCAAAAGCTTACTACCACCACCGTAAAAATGGCCAAAAGCCCTATTTTGAGAGTAATTAATTGGCAAGCTTTGCCATGTCAGTGCGGCAAACACTAAATTCCTCGGCAACGCTAGCTCCTAAAGGAACTTTGGAGCTTTCTCTCCGCCTCCACTTCTCCAGCTTACCTGTTTTTCCTTGTAGCAGTTTTTCTTGCGCCCCACCTTTGCTTAAGTTACCATCAAATACTTGTGATTTCTTGTTAAAGTTATATTTGGAACAAATAAACCTTAGCTATTGGCCATATTTACGCCAGATATTAACGCGAGAATGTTGAGACCTTGCGGCTGCAGTGTTGGGACAAATAAACGTTAAGCCCCGTGTAAACGGACGCAACACTGTTGGCCAACAACTCCCAACATTGTTGGATGTTACATGTTGCGTCCGTTAGCACACCCTGTTGCATGTTGTTGGATGTTGTTGCGCAAAGTTTGAAACCGGTCAAACTTTTCAGCCAACAACTCCCAACATTTTTTTGTTCCATGATCGCCGAAGCGTAGCGCAACAATGTTGGATCCGTTTGCACAGCTGTTCCAACATTGTTGGGGCCGCGCTTGCGCATTACGCATGGTTTACAAAGACTTATCGGTTGTATCCTTCCCACGATGCACTGCAGGTCCCAACATTGTTGGGAGTTGTTGCATCCGTTTGCACACCACTGCCAACACGCACGCCACAATGTTGGTAGTTATTGCGTCCGTTTGCATGCAGCCTTAGCTAGCGGCCATATTTACGCCAGATATTTACGCGAGAATATTGGGACCAGGCAGCTTCAGTGTTCGCTCCTCGCATAGTAGCCCGCGTAGTTGGCGGGGTTGTTACGCGCGCGGTAATTTCATGGCGACTGCTGCGAGAGAGATTTGAATTAGTGACTTTTTACCAATCTTCCAACGGCTTCGCCGTGAAAAAGCTACAGCACACTATCTCTAATCCCGCTAGCTAAGCAGGTGAGATTGTCTCTGGGATCTTTTACGTCCCACAAGAACCACAAGACCCTGAGTGTTATTCCGGCCGGGGTTTGAACCCGCGACCTCCGGCTCAGCAGACCGGCGCTCTCCTAACTGAGCTAACCAGGCGGCTGTCAAGGCTGATGAATTTTTTTCTCTACAGATTTCTACTACGTTCGCTGTCAATTTTGAGACCCAGGCAACTTTCTACGTCCCGCGTAAGTATGTCCTGACATTCTCCGCCATTTTCTAATAGCTGGTAATTTTATACGGGTATTCTTCTGTATATTCGAATTCAACCGTACACAACCTGAGAAAACAGCCGACACTTCTCGACGCCACCACTGGTTTCCCGCGAAGTGACGTCTGAGAAACGAGCGCAGAAATTCCATGCTGATGACGTGTCACTACCCAGATCTGGGCAATGCTCTTCCTTTTGACTGATCTTGCCGCGAGGGAAATTTGCTTCAACCAATCAGGCTACCGTCAACAGTGAAGAAAAAAAACGGAACCATTTATCTTCCATTCCCGTTTTTTTTCACAGACTGCATTAGTGGATTTTGCGGATGCGACGCTGGTAAGTCGAACAACACTGTTTATATTAAATGAAAATTCAGGATTTTTGTTTAATCATGATACACTCGAATTTCTCCACTACAAATCCCATCAGCAACAGTGGTAAGTGTCCGTTAAAGAGAGGTGGCTGTAAAAGGAAGGCAAAGATATGCAATAGGACAAACTAGGGAGGGAATTTTAACTTAGTTTAGTATGAAAAGTGTCTAGTATCAAATGTCCTCTAATAAGCAGTTTAAAAATAAAACTTATGTAGAATAAGTGACTTAATCCCTGTCCCCACTAATACGTTTTCAACAGTAACGTATTTATTCGATTAAACGCCGCGGCGTTTATTAAATTTTTCGTGATTCGAGTGCGGCGTTTATAAGAGGGCAGTGTTTATTTAAAGTCCAATTTGTTTGTGGTGAGGAAGCTTAGTGAAAGAACATTGAAGTATACTCACTTCGACCTAAAAAACATTGTTATCAATGAAAGCAAATTTCCAAAGCTTGATTAAGCTGAACTACCGTGTATATATACTCCTTTGAGCTTCAAATGTACTGATCTTAAAACATTGTTACAACCAAGGAAAATAAATGTTTTAGGCTTGCTCAAACTTGATTATTACTGCATTTGCTTTTTGAGTCTATTATTGAAATAAACGCCATAGCATGACGCGGCCTTTATTCGAGGGCGGCGTTTAATGGAATAAATACGGTATGTGTTTTAGATGTCATCGAAAACGCATCGATCGATTTGCGTCCACACTACTGTTTGATGCGTTTTCCACTGTCCACACTAAAACGTTCGGAAACGATAGAATTGAACGTTGTGATCTAAGATTAGCTCTTAAATCGGATTTTATTTTCAGGAGAAAAAATACATTAGTGGTATTCAGCTTGGGTAAAACCTGTATACCATTACAATTGCCGTCTCCAAAGAGGATCCTGAATGTTGACTTATTTTGTTTGCCTAAGTGTACAGAATCTTGTTTTTTACATAGGTTTTCGAAAATAATAACTTGTTTCATTTTGTGTAGAGGAGGCGTAACTGGCAAACTTTAGCTAAACAGGTTAAGGGACACAGTCAGCTGATGCACATGCGCACTAGACACCATTTCTTGGCTGATTTGCATGTCACAAGACACGCGCGTGAAACAGAATATGAGAAGCGTATCCGGAATACTCTAAACAAACCGCTTGAAGAGTTGAACTAGTTACAAGCCGAAATCGTGATTATAGACCCAAGGCTATATCAGAGCACTCATTTTTTTTATATACCATTGAGAATTCACCAATGAATTTGTCCAGGAAAGCCAAACATCGACGAATACTTCCGAATTCGAACATCAGTAGAGATGAAAAATGACACCAACTCTGAATTATTGTCGAAGGTTTAAGGTCGACAAAGCTTGATTTACCAAATAAATGTAACCTTTTCCGTAAATTTTCCAATTAAATGTATCGATTATTTGCTCGCCAATGTTGCTGATTCATTTCTGTTGTTATTTTGGTAAACGAAGGCGATTTCTCCCGCCCGGGGCCTACACGCGTTTCTCACCCTCTTCTGTTCATGTTCCTGTGGATACTGTTTTTCACCAAATTAATATGATAGAATAATGTAATAGGATGTGTAAAAGTTTGCTCAAAAAGAGGTTTTCAGCAAAAGATCGATGATCGAATGAAACACTAGGCAAGATTGAAGCGGATTTCTGGCTATATTCGACGCGTACATTTGATTTCGGGTTGAGGTAAACGCTTTTCAAAATGGCAAGAGTAGTGTCCAGGTGAGGGCGGCCCATAGGTGACTGTGTCCCTTTTTAAAAACAAGGTTCTTAGTCGCAAGTTTTTACTGTATATATCAATAACACAAAAAAACAAACGTTTAGCGGGACAAAAATATTAACAGAACTAAAACCAGTACTAGCTTTACATTGCAATGAGTACATCGTCGTCTTTGTACAATAGTGTGATTCTGATTTGATGTAGTCTGAGAAAACAACTGGTTTCCCCGCGAAATGACGTGGGCCGGGAGAAACGAGCGCAGAAATTCCATACTGATGACGCGTCACTACACAGATCTACTCAGTGTTGCTGATCGGTCGTGGCGCGTGGGAAATTTGCTTCAACCAATCATAAGCACTTCTCAGATCCGGGTAGTGACGCACCTATTCATCAGTATGAAATTTCTGTACTCGTTTCCCAGACGTCATTTCGCGAGGAAACCAGTGGTGCTGGGGCTGCGAAATGTCGGCTGTTTTCTCAAGCGAGATTTGATGCTGTTTAAATGTAACAAAAGAGAAAATTCCATCATTTTTTTTTTCAAGGGCAACAAAATGCACTAAAAACAGTCTCAGAATATGTTGACTTTGATATTCGCAAAAACAATCAGTCCGTTAACTTGACGACTGTTAATGCTACCTGGAGTAACGAGGCGTGGGGCAAGAAAAGGCCGACATTTTTCAAGTAAGTCGATAAAATGTAAGTACTGACTTGAAATGGGAAGCTTAACAACCCTGTAGCGAAATCTACTGTGAGACCTATAATTAGGGGAATCAGTATGATTCTTATTGCTAGACTAAGATCGCCTTTGTATGCATGGTACGGGGAACTTCTACAAATTCCAGAAAATTCTGTTCTAGAACTTGACCACGGCGACTGTCGACCATGGCTGAAATCTGAATTAATTTTCATGCCTACTTTTGCGGAACGTGCTCGTTTTAATACATGTGTTTTGCACCCTGGGGCGGGAGGAGTACTCAACAAGGTTTTATACGGGGAGGCTCTGCCCCGAGGTCTAACCTCTTACTCTTTAAGAGAGGACCCCCCTGGGCTTTGGAACTAAAAAAAAAGGATCTAGACTGGTAAGGGACTGTGCAATAACTATCAGGAGGGGGGGCTGAAAAACTAGAGTTATCTAGCAAAAACTTAGACAGTACCCTCCCCCCCTCCAAAACAAAAAAAATTAGTTCTGACCCCCACCTCTGGTATGTTAAAAAACGTCGCCCTTCCCCCCCCCAACCCAAGATTTAGACAAAGCATTTGCTAAGTACCGGGATGCTTACCACGTGGGCTCAAAATCTAAAACTTCTGAAGCCAGAAGGAGAAAGGAGCAGAGAAAAAAAATCAAAGAACAGGAGATTGAACGCTTCGAATAACAGACGAAAAAGAGCTTACATTATATTAATTTTAGATCCTTGGGAGGAGAGCCTGATGAACTTTGTTATGAGCCAGATATATATGGAATTCAGCAAATCGATTCAGTCGATGAAGAAACATTACTTTTATTCACATCAAAAACCGACAAAGCTTGTCTACGAGATCTGTTTGATTCCCATTGTTTTATGGGGGAAGCTGAAAAACAAGTTCATGATTTTTGCGTTACATAGGATCAGCTCAATTAATTAGAAGACAGGTTAAAACTGATCAGTTGTGAACTTGCTTTTCATTTTGATGGAATATTTTCAATAATCGTTTAACAGCTGTTCGTATTGATATTTGCTACAGTCTATCATGATGCCTGTATTGAGAATCTTTTATTGCGTTTAATTTTATTTACATTTCGAATAAAACTTAAGGCCCCCCCCTCCGTCAAATGACTGATTTTACTTTGAGCCCCCTATCTTGGCAGTAATTTTATGTAATGCCCCCCCTCTAGTTTTTCAGCCCCCCCTCCTCATAATTATTGCACAGTCCCTAACAACAGCCGCGACAAGCCGACAACGGTTTTGATCCAAAATCTTATCATAAGGTGGCGGGCGGTTTCTTAGCCAATCACAAACCTCACAGATCTTTTTTTTTTTTGCTTGTTTGTTTGTTTTTCGTTTCTTTTACTTTCCCTTGTTTGTTTGTTTGTTTGTTTTTGTTTTAAATTGCCTTTTTCAAGAACCAAGAAAACGACGTTTTACTATTGGAGCTCGGTAATAGGCAAGTTTTGTATTCCCCGACGGACTTGGGACGAGCACGATTGTCAGGCTAATGCGGGTCAACTTGGTTGCAAAAACAAAAATTTGCGTTGAGTCGCTTAAAAACGATAGATATCTTAAAACAGTGAGATTTCAAAGCTTAAACTTTACCAGTAAGCCAAAGGGATATCTGTTGCAAACAACGAAATTGTGGGAAAAGTTGATCGTACTTAAGAGAAGAAAGGAAACAAGCGACGAAGCCAAAAGAAGTAGACTTTTTAAGCTTGAAAAGGGTAAAGTTTGTTTAAATGACATTATTACATTCTCTTTAATTTTCGTACTTCTTAGTATTCTATTTTACTCTCACTGTAAAATGGAGTTTAAACTGCTCAGTATATCGTCTGTATAAAATTCTGCTCGAGTTCTTGACAAATAATGTAACCTAAATGAAAGCTTACGTACGAATAAACTTACACTATTTTAGTCATCTTCGTTTAAACCGATTTAACTTGCTATGACAGTGCAAGGAATTTTTGCAGGACGTCTGCCCCCCTCGGTTTATTATTTTTCAAATACACAAGATTTTGCATTCGCTCCGTTAGAAAGTATGTCAACTATCAAGAAAGTTTCAGTCTGTCTTGCAGGCTTTCGACAAGTACGTACACTCCAATGGAAGGTATGGCTTAAAGAACTTTTAACCATCACTGAAAGTAAAATTAAAATGGCTTCAGGGTATTACCTTGTTTAAGGATTTTGAAACCACCTTCGCATTGTCATTGAACTTACTCCGGCACCGACCACTATTTCGGTCAATTTCTGATTAGGCTGAGGCTCGTTGTTTTTCCTGGTGACGACGAGCTGATTTTCCTTTTGCTGTTTGAAACAATGATTTCTCAAGCCTGTAAGTAAGTTTTGAGACCCCCAAAACCTTTCAACGTTTCAAATTTTCCTTTTTTAAAGCAACACCGCCTCAGCTTTCTCATGTTTCTTTGTCTTCTTGGTGAGAAGTGACCCCTATTAGCCTCGCTTTCGCGCAAAAACAAGCACTCGCCCTAGGCCCCCGGGAATACGAAACTCGTCTATTCTGATTGCTGATGCTTGTTTTCTTATATACTAGGTTGGTAATGCAGGAATGTCCTGGTGGTGTCTGTCCCGCAATACAAGGATATCAACTTACGGATCATCTTGACGATCCATTGGTAAGCGGTTTTTCTTGTTTTAAAGGAACGGATACTTCACTTTTTTCCCAATAAACAGGACATTAGTTATTTGCAAATTCTTCCTTAAACCATTCTGTGGTCTCTTAAAGAAGCTGTGTGTCACGAATTGTATCAAAATTCTAATAGTAGGAACTTCCACCAAACTTAGTGAAACATGAAAATAACCACTTAAAACAAAAAGGTATTAATAACACAACAAATACAAAGTTGGTTTGGATGGACAAACTCAGTGTTGAAGAATATAGACTACGAGCAGTCTCTCTTTTTTCTTGGTCCGTCGAGCAAAACGCCCGAGACACGCAAATGATCACGCGCGTGACTGAGGACGCGAGACGGGAGAGGCGTCTCGCTGCTTCGCCGCCCTTCGCTCGCGCGCGTGCACTCCCCATACTAAATCTGAAGATAAAGAGAACTGCTCGCAGTCTATGAAGAATATGAAAACTGATTGAAATGGGTTTTTGAAAACTTGTTAGCCTAAAAGATTTTCAAAGTTCATTTTTTGTTGTTTGTAACGTTCAATTCAATGCTTGGGAAGTATATTTGTTCGACAAGAAGTTGTGATTTTGTCGTTTGCAAGTGATATATCAGGAATCAGGAGTCAGGAATCTTTTTAATGTCAAAGATGCTGTCCCTGAGGGGCTACGCACGCGTGTGGTCTATAAATTTTCGTGTGCAAGTTGTAATGGTTGTTATGTTAGTGAAACCAGCCGACACTTCTCCACACTAGTGCGCGAGCACTTACTTTCAAACAGTTCTTCGAACGTTTTTAAACATCTGCAGAGTTCAGAGTTTTGTAGAGCATCCTGCACACCGGATTGCTTCGAGATCCTGGCTCTGCAGCCACTAAGTACTAAGTGAAGCTTAAGGAATCCATGTTTATAAAATGGGAGAAGCCCGATCTCAACCAGCAGGTGAAACACATTAACCTGACTCTCTCCCTGTAAAGAACTAAGCGTCACTCATTTAATTTTTTGTTTTGTTTTGTTTTAGTACGCAATATTGACAACGCAATGTAACGAACTTTGTAAGATCGCGCGCGCTTTAAACCCGGGGGGGCACTTTAGGAATTTCTGGGTGGGGATGTGCCGCTGGGAGCCTGGAACCCTTGACCTTTACCAAAGCTAGTTAAGCTGAATTTTGCTACCCTATACTAGAGTAAACTCCCCAAACCCCCCTATCCTAGAGTAGCTGTGTACCTAGTCTAAATAAAATCTTCAACCAACTGATCAGTTTCCTGAAAAATGATACCCTATTCTAGAGCCAAACGCTCTGATTTATATACCCTATCCTAGAGTAAACTGCTTGAAACCCATACCCTTCACAGCGGCACATACCTATATAGCCCATATATGGCAGTACCCCCTCCCCCCTCCCGGGGCTTTAAATTCAACGGCGATTTCAAAATGTGTAACACTGAAGATGACGGATGTACAGTCGAAACATGTCTGGAAAATTAAAGAAAGTTGTTATGTTTATACAAGTGATATATTTGTTTACGTAAAGTTACACAGCCCCTGTAAGGCCTGTAAACTAAAGCCCCATTCACGCTAAAGCTTAAACATCTTTAAAAGCCGTTTAGTTCAACATAGTTTAAAATCGTTTCCTTCATAAAAGCTGCTCACTAATTTAAGGTGGCTCGATGGGGTTTTTCAAGGTCAATGCCTCACAAGTTTGACCAAAAAAAAAAATAAGGGTTGTAACAATTCGCTAATTTTTTGTCGGAAATTATTAAGGGGTATTGTCTCCAAGTTTCATATTTTCGTGGACAATAATATCTAACATTTCTGCATATTTCAAATGCATTGCTAGTTACTGCTGTTCGCGTGAACATGAAACTTGTAGACAATACCCCTGAATAATGAGAGGCTCTCACTTGTAAACACGAAATTTTTCCGACAAAAACTTTGCAAATATTCGCCTTATTTTACTGCCTTACTAGACATCCATTATCTTGAAACTCAGAGGTCATATAAAAACACGGTTAATCTCGAGAATCTCAAATTTTAAAAGAAATCTATCGAGCGGTTTGAGTAGACCGAAATGTTTACAAAACCGCTAACAAGAGCGCCTCGATACGTACTAATCAAATTCTTTTTTTTAGCAATCGGCTCAAGCTTTCTTATGATCCTTCACAGACGTTTTTAAAAAGAGGCTATGAGGTGAAATTGCAGTTCAAAAGCGTTTCGCTTATTTGACGAGAAAAAAAAACCGTGTTTCCTTTCGTTTTTATTCCCGTGTAGAAATTTCCCGATTGCCAGTCCGGGGGAAATTTTCCTGAAAAAGTGGACCGCCTTTAGAGGTGGTCGTCCTTAACCGGTCGGTCCCCGACCAAAATTGGCTGTTCCATTTTCAAAGATTTTCGTTTGCTGAGAAATACTCAAAATTTAAAAAGAAACGTGAATGTCTTTCTCTCTAAACTAGCGATTGTGAACCAAATGGAATATAATCAATATAAATTAAAGGAATGTGACAGTTTGTTTCATGTCTTAAACGTGTAAACCAATCATTACTTGGTAGAGGTAAACACCTCTAAAACTGTGTAGCCTGTGAGTAAGTTGTCGACTTGCGGCAGTCCGAGTGGGTCATTGGGTATTTGCTCTCTAATTTGAGAGCTTTCTTGGAGGATTGCAATTGTAGTAGAAGGTAGTTTCTAGCAAAACAAGTAGAGCTAAACAGGTTTTTTATCAGGAACCGATAATGAGGAGTGAGCAACTCCATAATAGGCCATTTTCACTTAGCGGTTTATTTTTAGGTACATTGTAGGGCACTTTTTCCGGTGTAAGTAAAACGTTCCGCTCCTTCAATGAGAGCATTCGAAGAATAGGATATCAAAAAGAAGAACTAGGTCTCTAGGTTTCACTGACTGGTTTGTAGGACAAACCGATAATATTCTAAGTTCGCGCCAGAATCGATCTGAAGATAAAACGCGCGCCGTGACTCGAGTACGTAGAAGTTGCTTGCTCCAGGTTATGGGATGCTAGTTTTCATGTGGTATATGAACTCAACAGCCAAAATTGGAACGCCTTTTTTTAATTCGTTTTTCGCAGAGAACCGTCCAAAGCTTCGTTTTCCAAAATCTGACAGAGGGAGAATGGCATCACTTTATCGTAAGTATTGTACGCAAGAAAGCTCTTAAAACTAAACGATGCCCGTTGAAACACTTACCCTACAGATTTTTCTTTCATTAATGTGGCTAGTTTGTTGGTAGTCGCTAAGCAAGTGTCCTTCATCAATGTTTTAATCGAAACAGTCCACTCTCCAAGAGCGACCACCTCTTGTAAGGGACCATAAGCGACCACCTAACCAAAATGTTCACCAAACTTTTCTCACCCAAAGCCCGATAATTAGAACTTCTCGTAGTCGACCACCTCTCATAAGCGAGCGCGACCACTTTTTCTTTGACGCCTTTTTTAGTTTTCCTTTGTTTTTAACCTCTTAATTGTAAGCGACCATTTGACGCATATTGTGGTCTCTCTGTTCGGTATACGAAGAAGTTTAACTTTCACTAACAACATGAAACTACACGTATGCACAACTTAGAAACTGCATGAAATGAATTCTCTGCCAAAAGTTAGATGTGCTGGGACTTCCTCTCGGAAGAGACTCCCTGTGTGGCGATTCTTGTGAGCGATCACTTCCCGTAAGCGACCAGTAAACCTCCGCATTTTGGGTGGTCGGTTGCAGCAGGTTCGACCGTAGTCGACCCTCCTATTTCCATCCTACCATGACTAGAAAAAGTTCCCGTAGCATCATTCTTCCGGCAGGTAGCTATCATGAATGTCTCCCCCGGGATAAAAGCAATGGTCGGAGGGGGGACGGGGGGGCTTATAAGAAGAGGCACCTTTTACAAGGAAAGAGCGCCTAATTGTCTCATCACTTCCATGTCTTTTTGCAGATTTACGCCTTCGATAAAAGTAGTTGCCTACTGTTACCTGTAGAAGGGGAGCGTTTTCAAGGTAAATTGTAGAAAATCTTCGAAACTTAGGTCCCGTTTAAATGGAGAAAACTTGTTCTCCGCGAGAAGAGGGGTCACCCTCCTAACTGAGTCAACTTTAAAGAGCGCTTATGTGAGAAAAAAAGTTGACCCCGTTGCCTGAGCGAACAGCGCTCGCGCATGCTCTGATTGTCTCACCTTCACTGAGTTGACCCAGCGCTGGGTGAGCCAAAGTGTTTATATGGAGAAAAGTTGGCCCGACTAGGAATGCGACTCTACCATCACAAAATATTAACCCGGGTCACTCTACCAGCCGAGCCAATCTTTTGTTTCTTATGCATGTAAACGGTTCGTCGTGTTTTGTAAGGAAATGTATGAAAAGGTGGCTCGCTCAGGGTAGCTTTGGTAGGCGGGCGACCCTTCCACTCGGGACAACTTTTCCCCATATAAAGGTGTCTTAAGTAATCATCATCCAACCTAAACGCGCAAGGAGACTTGAGAACACGAGGCATCAGTGGGGAGAAGAAAAGCTACAGAAGAAGCGCCATTTCGCCAATTCCACCCAGCAGATAGTTCACAGTTCCCTATTTTTCGAAAGATCGTCAAGATCGAGGGTTTACCAGCACAAACGGCTATCTAAATTTCATATGTACCGAGGGGCCGTTGGTCGGGGCTTATAATCGTTCCCCGCCCCCTAATTAGATTTGGCACTCATCCAAGATAGCCGCCTGTGACGTAAAGCGCTCGATCTCGACGATCTTACGGAAAAATAGGGGGCTGTGCACGGGCTAACCCCTTTCCCGCCACCTTTCGCCAAAATTTACCTATATAAAAAAGAAATCCGAGCAAGAAGCAATTCATAATCAACACAATTAGAATTTTCAACCGTTTTGTTTTTAAAATTGATCACACTGTGTGAATAATATTAAAGCACAAACAATGACAAAGAGAGAGTTAAGAAACCTTTAGAGCTGAACTCAAAATACAACAAAACTAAACTGTTATTGTCGGCGATAGAAAGACTATAACGGAGAAGGCTATTTCGCCACAGTACTGAGACTAAATAATTCTCTTTCACAGACAGCTCAAAACGACTTTTTTCTTTGCCCAAAGATTTACAATCAGCCCGGTTTACTTTTTCTTCGGTAAATTCAAGCTTTTGGTTTCATGTATGATGTTTGTAAATACTCTTAAATCGATCTTTCGTATTTTTTCCTTCATTAGCTCTTCCTACAAAAGTGCCTAATACCGCCAAACCGAGTACAACGCCATCGCCTAGTACAACGTCACCACCAGGTACCAAGTAGATTAGGGAGCTTACAAAATGATACTGTTCTTATCAGACCTATAAAAGCTTTGCCACCGGTCTTATCAGACTTACCAAAGTCTTAGCACTGGTCTTATCAGGCCTTTCAAAGTCTTGCCACTGGTCTTATCTGATCAGACCTATCTTTAGCTATCTTTAACATCTCTTCTCATTTTTCAAACAGTTTCATCAACTGCTGAAGCAAGCATTTCATCCACGACCATAGCAGCCATTACCGTACCAATCGTCCTTTTTGTGCTAGTAGGACTAGCGTGGTGATACCGCAGGCTACAAGGAAAATCAAAGTCATGAAAAGGAAAATCAAGTTAGGCATATAGCGGCGGTAATATTTCAATGAATCCATGCATAGTTTGATTTCGTTGAGACAGTCAAGAGAACTTGTAGCCTGTGTAAAGATGCACGCTCTCCAAGTTTTCTTTTTGAAGGGAGGAGGCGTCTGTACACAAGCTAGAGAACTTAATGCAATCTCCCTCAGTCATTTTTCCTAGAAACGAAAATGAAAATTTTTCTTTCAACTTCCGGTAATTAAATCTTTCAAGTCAACTTTCAAGTAGATTTTTGCTTAATTAATGCGAAGATAAATTCGAAAGAGAAAACTAGATTATGCTTATTACATCTGAACTCACTGCACAAACATTTGAACTCGAAAGAAAACTTTGAAAAATTGCTGGTGCAGATATCTTTAATTACATGTAACATGCTTTTAGGAATATCTGCTTCTTTAAAATTACTGCTAGCAGAATAAAAAAGTCTATAATTCGACAGTTTTTTCGATTTATGTAATTGTTCGTTGTCTCCTTTTTTTCTCTTTTTCATTTCACTCTTGGAGCACTGAACTCGTTGACTGCACGTTGCGTCCACGTAGAGTTCCAGGTGCGTTCCACATAGGTGGAAAGGCCAGCGTTGTGACGGTCTTGTTCATCTATACTGACTGGCGATGCTCTGATATCGCATGGTAGCCTAGGAAACTGGAACTCACCACGTCGTGTCTGATTTCAATCGACACTTCGTATTGAACAGGGACTTTCATCCCTCTCTCAAATACCGACCCTCTCTCTTGCCTCTTAGTCTTGTTCTATTTTAGCTTAACCCTTTGTTGTTGTTTTAACGCTTTCTCGTAGTTTTAACTGATTATTAAAAATGTCATTTTACCACCCACAATACCAGTTGAATTAACTTATTTCAAGAGTTGTTTCAACCACTAATATATGTCATTGAAATTTCGGTTTGGAGCGTGTAATCTGTTATTGAAATAGTCGAAATAATAAAGTTTGTTTATCTTACGTCATCACTGAATGAGCTACTTCAGTTTTATGAATTGCTAGATGATCGCATTTTCCCCCTGATTTTTACATTATTTTTGTCTTGTTTCGGAATCTTGTCGGTTGAACTAAGTTAGGTAACTTATCCAACTTCAGCACTTCAATTGACAAACATGAGACCACAAACAGGAAACAGAGAAAAACAAAGATGAAAGGAGTTGAAAAAACTAAAGTACATATGCACGACCGAATGATTTTGGTCGTTTACACTAATCAGAATAGTCAGTTATCACAACCAACCTCAATGGTTAAAACCACGTATTATGCCAGGTTATTTCAACAATTTTCTTTCGCTGAAAATTTCGACTGTTAAGAATGGTTACAATGACTATTGTTATTAGTTACAACCATTTAAAATAGTCATTTTAACTAGTCGAATTTTACAGTGTAATTGGCAGGCCCGTCCTGTCACTGCAAAACCAAAATACCTCACGGCAAAACCAAATTCTTCACAGCAAAAGCAAAATAGCTTTGGTTTTGCCGTGGCTATTTGCTTTGGTTTTGCCGTGAGGTTTTTGGTTTTGCCGTGACAGTTATGGGCCACCGTACATTCGAGACTATAAAAACATCGATTTAAGAACGTTGAAAATCTGACATTTTTCCATGGTTTTCGTCAAAAATTTGCAAATTTCTTCATCCTTTCTTTTTTGGCCAATTACAAAAAATGCGTTCAGAAAAAGTGTTAAGTGCCGTTATAGATAGAAAACAAACTACTCAAGACTATAAAAACATCAGTTTAAGAACTGAGTGGAAAATCTGACTAAAGGGTTTTATAGTCCACGGTTTTGTTCAAAAATTTGAAATTTCTTTACCCTTTCTTTTTTGGCCAAATAGGCTCAGAAAAGGCGCCGTTTACACGTTCGTATTTTTAACGAGTTTTCTAGCTCTTTGACGTAACGTGTTAAAATAAATGATTGATTGATTAATTGATAGAAAACAAGCCATTCTAGACTATAAAAAGAAAGTCGAAGATCTGACATTTTTCCAAAGGTGTTCAGTCCATAGCCTGCGGGGAGCAGACACTTTTTTCGACTCTTGTTTCGCTTCCCGAGTTCTTTTCCGGAGGGAAAGAAGCGACGACCTGAACGTCTGCGCTTCGAAGGCTCAGGGGCACCCAACTAGAGTATTGTTCAAAACCACATAAACATAGCATTGTTAAGCGTATTTTAGTATTTAAATGGTAGACATAGGCATATTTTCATCCCCTAAAAACTTTTCATCTGTTCGGATTTCCTAGCTGAAAGTCTGGTGATCCGAAAATTATAGGGATCAAAACTTACCTTTTCGATCATTTCAGCCAGAAAAAAGACTCCCGAAAGTTCTAGGTGACGTTTTTGTGGGAAAAAATCCGTTAAAAATTAGCCTGTTCCAGGCTCCGAGATGGTGGTGAAAGTGAAAAGTCGTTCAAAAATAAAAAAACGCGCGGGGGCTTGAGAGAGACGGGGCGGCGGAGCCTGTACGCATTTTTTAACGGCCTGTTCCGGTATATCAGCTCCTGATATACCCTCTGATTGGTCAATTGTGACAGTTAACATCATCACCTAGTGGCGTGGTCATCAGTTTGTCATCACCAAGATGGCCAACGCGAATCGCGCGTGTAATCTTGATGACTCCGCGTTGTCTTGCGTTTTGGACGAGTGCCTGCGACATTTTCCCGACATAAGAGAGCTCAGGAAGAAGCAGAAAACGTGTCTGCTGAACTTGGCTCGCGGGAAAGATGTTTTTGCCATTATGCCCACCGGTTTCGGTAAAGGTTTAATCTTTCAGATCAAATGGTAAATGATTTAATTTAAGGCATGGTGTTATATAACACATTTTAGTAAAATCCAACTAGTGGTCTATTATCAATGCTGCTTTCTGATTGGTTGAGCTACTGCTAGGCTATATGTTATAGCCCACTAGTAGCAAAAAGCTACTAAAACAATTATTATTTCTCTCGCCCTCATGGCCTCTGAGTTAATAGCCCATTCGGCCTTCGGCCTCATGGGCTATTGACTCATAAATGCACATTTTAACGTGAAACTCTGAAAATGTGCACTCCAGCCCCCGCGCGTTTTCTTATTTTTGAACGACTTTTCACTCTCACCACCATCTCTGAGCCTGGAACAGGCTACGTAGATGTTAAAAACGAGAAAAACAATGGTTTCCTGGCAGGCGTTTCCCTCCCTCCTTCCTCGCGCGCCCCTCGCGTTTCTCTCGCGCCTAAAACTCCCTTTCCCAAAGCTCCCTTTCCGTTCCCTTTCAAACGCCTGCTTTTTTGCATTATGGAATGCCCCCATATTGACCTTCTCGTCTGGGTTCTTCATTTTCTCACATCCCTAAGACTTTGAAATGGAATTTTGGCATCTATAAGAATTTTAAACTCACTAACACCAATACTATGTTTTTTTTTATTTGGTGCTTCTCAGTTTCACATCTTCTATTAGTTTAAAACTATGTAATTTAAAGCCCTTCTCACTATCCATCGCAAGTGAATGTGTTTCTATTTGACGGGGCAGTCTACAAATAGCATATTCCTATAGTAAGGAAAGACTTATCACATGCTAGGAAAAGAATTGCAACAGGTTGAAGCTTTTCTCATGGGAACCATGGGAGTCATTGTTTCTGTAGTTTTAGCAGAGGCTCATTTAGATAATCATTCGCTGTAGATATAGGGCTAACAACTCCACAAAATAATTTTGTGTTTGTTTCAAATAGGCCATTTGCACAAAGAGTTCGTGTAACATTGTTTTTATGAAAATGAAAGTTATATGATTTTACCCTCGAAAAACGATTACTGGGTCATATCTTAAACAAAATAATAACGATTTGGTTTTTCAAACCCGCACCATTTTCTTGAAATGAGTAAGTTCGTAGCTGGTCACGTGATCAAAATGTGATTTCTATAATTATAAATTAACTTTTTCTGAGCACAAATTTTGCACTTAAACTTCAAGGAAAATGCTGAAAATATGATGTGGTAACGTTTACAGCACATCTAAGAGTAAATATTAAACGTTTAACAAGATATAAGGAAAAAGTAGTTTTGGCCGCCATGTTGGAGGGCAAGAGTATGCCCTCCAACATGGCGGCCAATACAAATCATACTACTTTGTTGAAAAATCGAAGTGCCATAAAATTTAATATCTCCCTTAAATGCTTATCCCCTCAAATTTCGAGTAAGGTAATTTTTATGTGCTCTGTCAATTTTTGGCATCAGCAAGATTGCACCTCATTGTTTTAAAGGAAGCATTTGTCACGTGACTTCTTAGTGCAAGTGACCTATTGACTTCCAAATCTGACGACCTGAAATGAACTGTACCCTCCCCACAAAAAAAGGCCCATTATATTCCATAATTGGGTGCCACAGGCTGCCCAATAATTAACTCTATCCCATCCCAGATAATGTTTTTGCAAAGTTAACTTGATTAAAATGTTAATTTTTATCAATATGGACCATGCTTTAAAGGTAGCAGTTAAAGCTCATATTGGTTGTAGCAAAAATGGGAAAGAGCACAAACTTTTGTTTTAAAAAAATTGTCTGAAAGAATTTTTAAGCCACGTGGACAGCCATCCACTTAGCTTCTGTTAATTCCCTCTCTAATGTTTTTCTGTTTTTCTTTTGCTCTTTTCTTTACCTTTGACATTATTTTCAAGTAATACAGAGGTGTACTGGCACACAGGTACTGTAAGAATGGTGGTTTGGGTACTGAATAATATTATAATTACCATAGAATTTTGTGAACTTAGCTTTAAATTTCAACAATTATTATTGTTCATTTGAAAAGCTACATCAAACAATTCACAAGAAGGTGAAAGAAGAAGGCAAGTGGAACCAAACTGTGTCCTGCACTTGTTTCTGGGATCGAACTACTGGAGATGCACCAGTCACCTATTGGCCAAGTTTTGTGTCTATCACTAGTAACACTCCCAGAAGTCTTAACTTAATGCAGTTTCCTTTTCGTTACTAAAGTGACAAGCATCCAGGTGGGTCATGTGGCATGAAAGCCAATTGGTTTACTACCCAAAACCTGAAAACAATGGTAAACAATGAATTACCATTGTCTAAAAGAACAAATCAGGAAAGGCCTTACGAGTAGCTCCTACATTACCAGTCCAGGCACCTCCAAGCCGGTCTTGAACAATTTTACTTCACCTCACTTTTCAACCAACATCTTGGTGTCTTGGTGTCTTGGTGTCTTGGTGTCTGTCCCTGAGCCATATCTTCACCCAAAACGTCCTTAGGTTTTCTCACTCCAACCAAAACACCCCTTCCCCTCCGCAGACTTGGTATACAGTGAACCCATATTAGAGGACGGGGATGATTTTAAAATTCCCGGGAAAGGGCTCCCTTGGAATTACTTGATGATTTTAAACGTAAGAACAGATTTCGAAACAGATTGTGAAATTTTATGGTGCGAGATAATTGTTATGAAACCTTATTCAAGAGTCCTGGTAGGGGTATTTTACAGACCTCCTTCGAGCGACATCGACTACTTGAAAGAGTTGGAAAGATCTTTATCGCTTATCGAACGAACTGGTAATAATCTAAGTATCCTTTTATTGGGTGACTTCAATCTTCCCCAAATTGTCTGGTCCACCCCATCACCTACGTGTCCTGACAGTTTGTCGTCTACTTTCTGCGCTATCATTGCGGATTACTTTCTTCACCAGTTGGTACTTCAACCTACCCGCGAACAAAATATTCTCGACTTGGTTTTCATCACAGCCCCGGAGCTGGTAAAGGATCTGGAAATTTGTCAACCTGTTGGGGGATCTGATCATTGTTCCATTGAATTCAAACTAAAATTAAAGTTTCAGAGACCAATACGTAGTTGTAGGCTTGTTTACAACTATCGCGCCGCAGATTGGCTGGGTCTACGTGAAGATTTTTGTAATTTGCAATGGGTCTGTTCATATCTTATGGAGACTGTGGATGATGTCTGGGATGCTTGGAAA